ATGTTCTGACAGTGAGATCTATCAGGCGGTGGAATAGATGCTTGCAAAGTCACCTCTTGGGACTTCTGAAACTCGGCTGTGCAAAATGAATGTCTCCTAGGGAGTAATTCTTCATAGACAGAGGTTGGACTTGATGACCTTAACAGGTCTCTTTTTTCCCCCTCTCCCTTTTTTCCTTTTTTAACCTTTGTCTTCACTACTAAGCACATGTTATGTTAATGTTATGCTCTGCGGTCCGTTTTGTGAGCGGTGGATAACTGGGGATGTGCGGTTTGGCACTGGGACTCCTTGGGCAGTTGTTCAATCAATCTGCAGCTGCCCTTGGAACTCCTGTAGGTTTTAGCCTCATCACATGTCTCGCAGTCGTTATTAAACAGTGACTCAGAACAAAGCCCTTGTGCTGAGCATCCCATAGTGGGGTAAATGCATTCATCTCACTGATGGGATTGTATTGCTTCTGATTAGCAGGTTTTATCTTTACAGGGAACATAAAGTATAAAGAACTTGTCATTCTGGGGTTTCAACAATAGCCAATTAACCAATTAAGTGTTGTGTCCCAGAATGGAAAGACTCCTTTTAGGACATAATAAGTGTATTGCAATCATTAGTTGATATATTTTGTTACTGTTGTAGCAGGAGATAATGGCACCAATAATACCAAGGGATATTTGCATTTAATGGTCAGAGGAGGGGGGAATGAAAGGCCAAGACTTCCTCCAGCTAAGAAAAGTGTTAAATCCTCTGGGAGAAGGAGAATAGGAGGACCTCAGAGATCTGAAGGAAAGAATGAGAAATGGACCACCTCCTTGAAGAGAGGTGTTGCCATCAGATGGACAAGAGCTGTAAGGTGTGGAGATAAGATCCCTCCCTCCTGCCACCTGAGAGGAAGAAAGCGGTCCTAGCTTTGATTTTGGGGTGTATGGATTAGGCAGGGTTTTCTTGGATTTTGTTTCGACTGATCTTTTTACAACCTTTTGCTCTTCAACTTTGATTTTATAAATGAATACCTTTGTATGGTTTGATTTTAAAAATATTTCAGCAGTTGGAAGAATGCAAAGCCTTATATTCCTACAGACATGATAACATTGAGACGAGGGCATTGGAGCACATCAGAAATGCCCAATTTCCATGTAACATTTTGCGAGTATTGGAAGGGTGACATGCTGTTCTTCTGCTGAGCTCTGAGGGCTGTGCAGGAAATATCTTCCGGCAGCCTACATTAGCCAGGCAAGTTCTTTGACAGCAAAGGTATCTAGGAAAATATTCACATACTGAAGTTGTGGGTCACTTCTAACATTCATCTTAAAATAGATTTCAGCTGTTTTTCTATCCAGAAAAACTGCCATGTTCTTTTTAAGACCACAAAAGAAAACCAAAGCCTCTTTTGATTAGCTCAGCAACCTGTTGGTTTTTTCTTAAACTGTGGAATGTGAATTTAATCCTCCTTTGACCACCCGCCTTCAGAGCATGGTCAAACATTGGAACAGGCTTCCTAGAGAGGTGATCAATGCCCCAAGCCTGTCGATGTTTAAGAGGCTTTTGGACAAAGACCTTAATAACATACTTTAACTTTTGATCAGCCCTGAAGTGGTCAGGCAGTTGAACTGAATGATCATGGTAGGTCCCTTCCAACTCAAAATGTTCTGTTCCGTTCTATTCTATGTGCTAGTGCTGCTCTAGTTAGTTATTCACCTAAGGTAGCTGTACGTTCTCTGTTACCTCATCTGAGCTTATCACAGCCTTTCATATCGTTAGTAGAATGGAATAGTAAAGTAAAAGGAGCTGTTATACCCTTTACAAAAGGGAAACAAATTTGTCTGTCCACAGGAAAGTTATGGGTTTGCGGAGGAACGAAAGGGCAGCACCATCACTGCTTGGATGTCCTTCGTCTTTGCTGGTTTTGAGAAGTTCTGAGCTTCTCACTGGCGGAAATAAAAAAAAAGCATACATGCTGTCTCTTTTAGAGAAATTCCTGTAATGAATTGGGTCTGCTGCAGGTCATTGCAAAGGCAAATTCTTTATCGTATTTATTCATCTTAGACGGTATTAATTTGCCAAAAACCAGGTATCTAGTGCCACTTAAAATGCCCTTAGAATGGCAGCCTGGCCTCAAGGAAGACATAAGGCTTCTTTGAAAACTATAGAACACCTGAGGTGGCTCTAGACATGATTTCTGGACAATAAAAGCAAAATATAGGCATGGTGCCATAATTCCTGTAGGCTTCTCTGTCTATTATTTGTCTCTCTCATGTTTATATATAGGTCTTTGAGGTAGGGATTGTGTTTGAATGGAGGCTGAACAAGAGACTTGTCCCTGCATTTGGGGAAGGAAAGATATTGAGCACACTGCAAAATGTGTGAAGTAACGATGTGGATAACTTTTTTCTTATTCTAAATCCAGAGAAGAAAAACACAGAAAAATTGTGAACTCTCTCTCTGAATTCAGAGAAGATTAAATGCAAGGTTTTAATATTTCAAAAATACCTTAAACATTAAACAGCTATAAACTTTTCAAAAATATCTCATATGAAATAATCATGTTTAGCAAAAAGCACTAGATCTTTTAACATAGGAAATACAGCATTTTCATATTTTTACCATTTCAAAAACTATTTTCAGCATTGCTTAAGAGCCAAGACATTCGTTGGCAATGACACTTTCCCAGCAAACAAGATACGTTTTGAACAAATGAGAATTTAAAAAAGTAAACCAAAAAAATGCCTTTTTTGATAAATTCCCATCCATAGCCCTTCTGACACTTGAGGAACACTCTTGGATACTACAGCGTGAGTGTAATACTGTCCACAGACATTTTCAGGAGTTCATTACAACTGTTTGATTAGTTCAGGAGTAATGAAACTTCTCCAAAAATCTGTACATGCTTAGGATTTTGAGAGAAACAGTTTTGATCTCTTGCATGGTTTAATGCTGAAAAGATTCCTTTTTTGAAAGTTATTAAACCCAAACATTTCAACTGATTTGAACTTCGATGAGAGTTCATGATTTTTTTATTTTATATGTTTTTTAACATTTTTGTCTGGATTTAGACTAAGAAAACTGAATTTCTAGTCTCATCGCTTTTTCTTTAAACCTCAAAGCAAAGCAGCGGGTCCCATTACACTTCCTATGACATCCACAGGGCCAAAGTTGGACCAAGTCTTCAGTCACATTCAGGTACAAAGCAAGTTGAACTGGGAGATACAAGTTCCCCAGAAGCCCTCCAAGCTGTGACAATGTTTTCAATAAACCTGTTTCTGGATTTCAAGGCTGTGATAGACCTTAAGTTGTCACGTGTCCCTGGTAAAGATTTGTGCTTTACACCTGATCTGTAAACCATGGTCTATCTTCCGCAGAAGAAATGTCCATGCTTTTATTTAATCACTTACGTCATCTCCTCCTGGACAGGGTCGTTTGATCCCAAAGACCATCCTGGTGCTCGATACACAAAGGAAGGTTATATGCTTGATCACATAAAGCAAAAGAGGCTGAAGGAGTTGCATGGAGACCTCATCCTCAAAATGATGCACCAAAAGAGAGACCGAGATATGCACATCAGGAATCCTTAGTGACAAATGTCAGTTGCTAAAAATCTGCTTAATGTCAATGATGTGTACGCTGCTTTGGGTTACTTTTTTTCCCCCCTCTTGTCTTTACAGCGTCTTTGGCCATTCTCTGTGGCCTGACATATTCTTCTGTTGACTGCCGAGAAGACCGAGCCACCTTCATTGAATGCGAAGTCCAAGTCATGGTGGGTACCTATCGCCAGAGAGGATCTGCGTCTTACCTGTACGTCTGCGAGGACAGCCCACCTCAGTGGCGTTGGAGTGACATCAGCCCACCCCAGAGGCATTTTGCTGGACTCTTTGTCAGGTTAGTGCTGTGTCTCTCCCACAGCTGAGTGGGCCAATCCATGAGCAAATCCTCCAGAACGTATTCCACCTTTTGCAGAATTGGTCCCTGCCAAATGATAGACTGAAACAGCAAATTTCTAATTCTTAGGTCGATGCCAACAGAGCAATTTAGCCTTGAGACCACTAGAGAGCCCCACTGGGTTGTGAAATTAATTCCTTGTGTCTATCAAAGCATCTTTAGTGCCCTCCTCCTTCCCTCACATCTTTTTAAAGTGTTCGAGAGACATCAGAAAATCCATCTCGTAAACAGCGCGCTTTGTTCCTTCTTAGGTTTTAATATTTATCTTCTGATCCAAAGCAACATCTGGTGGATGCCAATGGGGAAAAAGATTAGGCATTATGAAGAGCAGAAG